CTCAAAAATGAAACTTCTGTCATTAATTACTCACCCTCATGTTGTTTCAAACCTGTAAGACCTTTGTTCATCTTCGTAACACAAATTAAGATATCTTTGATGAAATCCGAGAGCTTTCTGACCCTGCCATAGACAGCACAAGACGTTCACAAGAGTGCCACGACACATGGACATTTTTATCAATGTCCTTACTACGTTTCTGGGCCTTGAACATGTCAGTTGCATTGCTGTCTATGCAGGGTCAGAAAGCTCTTGGATTTCATCAACAAAATAACTAATAATTAAACATCTGCAAGTCATCACTTGTAGATTGACTGAGCGTGTGATGCATTGACTGCCCAAAGCCTGCCTGGAAAGTCTTTGAAACTCGGTGAGCCAGTTTGCCCTGTTGTGTTTTCAGCCTTCTATTTTTATATCCGGATATAGCAAGGAGACACCCTGGTATCAAATAATTGCAATACAGCAAGTGACCGTCTTGTTGCAAGGTACCTTGAAAACTTAATTTGGAATGAAAAAAACAGATTTTTCCAAAATTATAATTAACTACTAAACATTGTATGGGATTTTTAGTTTATAATACAGTAACATATGCTAGCAATTCTCAGTTAATCAATTAATGTTACTACAGACACAGTGAACCTCTGATTCTTCTATATGATGAGCCAACTTACTTTGGAAGCTTGTGGACTTAAATAAATAATAAACATAATAAATGCAGTTCTTTCCAGCGTTCTGTTCGTCAGAGAATCCTAAAAAATTATCATGATTTCCATGTTTTTTTTAAGAAGCAGAACTGTTTTCAACATTCAAATATTAAGAAATGTTTTTTTTTTTTTTTTCGAGTTGCAAATCATCATATTAGAATGATTTCTGAAGAATCACGTGACACTGAAGACTGATGTAATGATGCTGAAAATTCAGCTTTGCATCACAGGAATAAAGTACATTTTAAAATATTTAAAATAGAAAAAAAGTTATTTTAAATTGCAATAATATTTCAAAATATAGCAGTTTTCACTATTTTTGATCAAGTCCATTCAGCCTTGTTGAACACAGAGATATAGTATGTTAAAGGGATAGTTCACCCAAAAATGAAAAATCTGTCATTAATTACTCGCCCTCATGTCGTTCCAAACCTGTAAGACCTTTGTTCATCTTCGTAACACAAATTAAGATATCTTTGATGAAATCCGAGAGCTTTCTGACCCTGCCATAGACAGCACAAGACGTTCACAAGAGTGCCACGACACATGGACATTTTTATCAATGTCCTTACTACGTTTCTGGGCCTTGAACATGTCAGTTGCATTGCTGTCTATGCAGGGTCAGAAAGCTCTTGGATTTCATCAAAAATATCTTCACTTGTGTTCTGAAGATGAATGAAGAAGGTCTTTGGAACGACATGAGGGTGAGTAATTTATGACAGAATGTTCATTTTTCGGTGAACTATTCCTTTAGCATAAAGTGTCAATGCTTGAAAAAGCATGAATAGTTAGGTGTGGGCTGAAGACACAGATCTTATGATCCCGAACACAATTATAGAAAATTATATTATAATTATAATTATAATTATAATTATATAGACCCTACTATACCAATGCAACCGACAGGTCAAGGATTGTATCAATATGACAGCATAGTTTCTAAGTACATTTCAGAGATCAACAGCTCAACTAATACTTGACCTTGAATTACAAAAAAGTTCAAAATCTGGAGAAAATTTCCCTGCCTTTTGAATATGCAGGAGACGGAACCTTAGAAACAAATTTGCCTTGGAAGTATACCTGGAAGTACTTTGGCCCACTTGACCACTCGGATCATCTGTTTTCCGGCGAGGTGGTTGAGGCTGGTGAGCAGGTGGTCGGTTGTGTCGGGCTGTGTGTTGTCATAGCCCGCGAACACCACTTCAGGCTCTATGAGCTCCAGGACGCTACACACGGACGGTGACAGAAACGGTGCTACCGTGGGGACGTGGGGGACAAGAGCATTGGCTGAGCTCAACTCTTTCTCCGAGGTCAGAAACGGAGGCCCGTCCTTTGAGTTCTGCAGGGAGGAATCCTCGCTAACGCTCTTCATCTTCCCCAACTTCTTGGATTTCCGTGCTGAGAAATAACAAACATATATTATTAAAGCTGTTCGCTTGAGCAGCCTGATCCATTTTATGAATAATTACAATTTATGTTAAACATTGAAGGTCTTACAGTGATTTATAAGAGAGATAAATAATTTGAAATGAACAAGGTATTAATGAAAAGACCCCCAGTGTAGTCTTCAAGCAGTGTTCCTACAGTTTTTCATATCTGAAATGAGCTGGAGCTGATAGAAGTAATTATTCAAATAGAGATGGATCTTATAGCAGGGATCACAGTTTAAATCCCTGCTGTATAGATGTGACTTCTTATGTGGTTCGGGAGGATGCTCTTAATTGGCTGTGTTAGTGTTCCAATTTGATATTAATTGCAAGATTCCTGTGCCAGCAGGTTTATATCACATCAGTAAGTGAGACTGAAGGTGGCATATGTGCTAGTCCCAGTAAATGCTCAGATTTTATACTCTCGACAACTTTGTGTAAACGTTGTAGTCTTTCAGATGGATGTTTATTTATCATTTAAAATCAAATACATCTATTATATTTCTTGATGAAAAAATAGTCTATCATCAGAACCAAAAATGTACACTTCCCCTTATACGTTCATATTTTTAGCCCAAAGATCTTCACCTAGAATGACTCAATGAGGTTCAGGAAAAATTTAAATTAAAAGTGGTAGAATGATAAGTGTTATTAAACTCTATGTTATATATCTTCCTGCAGTACCTTCACTGACCTCCACATTTTTCATTCTACACTGGAACTTAACAAAAATGTAATATAATATTAATAATAATGTAATATCTAATTTATTATTTGTTAGTATTGTTCTCAAGATGCTTTTTAAAGAGAGAAACAAGCAAAAAAAAAACTATGGTAACTCAGGTTTATTGCACTAAAGTTACAGTATATACTGTATTATTCAGTGATAACAGCTGGTTTAAGATAAACTATATATGCCACATACATTTGTTAAAACTGTAGTTAGTCATTTGAAAATGCGAAATGACGAGTCATCTGTCAAAAGTTACAACTCATTTACTATTTATATATTTCCATTCCAAGAGACATTTTTCAAGAAAATCGTAACTAACAAACATCAGGGAAACACGGGTAAGACAAACCCCCCCCTTTACCACAGAAATATAATTTAGAAACCCAACCAGGTAGAGATGCAGCTTTGATCAGAGTTGGTCAAATAAATCGTGTGTTGTACTGGTATCGGTATCGGGCCCGATACTGAGCTCCTGTACTCGTACTCGTTAAAATGCCCCGATACCAAACGTCGATACCACACAGCATGTGATAAGCGCCATATTCAAACAAAGAAACACTGACAACAGACAGCAGAATGGAGTTATTAGAGATTAAAGATGTCTACGAAGTATAGGTATGCAATGAATATAAAACATTCAGTATTAATGCCTATATAGCTGATTTGCGCCAGCTGGTAAGCAAAGCACGCTGAGTGGATTGAGCGCGCGGCGGCGCAAATGCGCGAGCTTGTCGAGTGAATATCCCTTTCTCACAGACATCACTGGAAAGTTTGTAGTTCGGTCGGATATGTCAAAAACAAGTAAGTAAAACAATGCACAAGTTACTTAACGGTAGAGAGAGAGAGAGAGAG